CTTTCGTTGCCCCTGCAGTCATGCAGACTCATCTTAACACACTCTTGTCACTGACTGCCCCACTATTTCCCTCTCTCAATGCCCACGCACCATCCCTGAGGTCGCAGATGTCACTATACAATGCAATTTTTTGCTCCCTTGATCGCTCCCAGCTGGATGTTCCCAATGTTCGACAATCATTCGCAACCGTACTGCAGCTATGCCTTGATTCTCGACCGAAGGTACGAAAGAGGGCCATAGACCTCATCAGTGATGTACTATCAAATCCACCCAGTCCACTCTCGCGTCACCCGTATGCCCAGCGTGTCGCCGAATGGCTGCATACTTCACTTCAACAAGCTAGCACCGGTGTCCTCTCGAAATCAAAACTTGATGGTAGAGGTTCCGACTCCGCAGATGTAGCCATACATCTGCTTGCCCTTTTACGACCCGTGCTACCTAACCTCCCACCAGAAGTGAGCACCACTCCAATCACTTAAATTACATCTGACCTTTGCACTTAGGCTATTCCCCCAATCATATCCGTACTCCTCGCCCTTCCTAGGCTAGGAAATCCGTACCTATCACAGTCTTCATATGCTATTCTTTCGGATCTTTTCTCTGCTTCTCTCAATTCTGGTACACAAGGCGGTACCGAACAAATACCTGCAGTACTCGCCGCAATCCTCGCATCTCGCCCTCCAAAGTCAGATGTAACCGTGGCACCATCGTGGATTCGTGCGCTCGGGCGGACCATGCTGACGTATCGTTCCGCTGATGCGGAAGGATGTGCCGCTGAGTTCCTCAACGCGTGGAGGGCCATCTGGGCATTTATCGAATCCTCTCAAACGCAGACTCGGAAAGCTGCCGCAGAGTCCCTCGCATTCCTCGCGCAATGTATTACTCTTCCGATGGCACAGGCTGCTGTCAACAAGCCTGATGATGAGAAATCAGACCTTCGCATCGTTATTGCGCAGACATCACAAGCACTGGATTCCTTGGCGCACGCGCAAGCTATTCCAGAATTGCTCAACGTTATTTCGTCTCTTATAACAAGTTTAGCCTTGAGGATTCAGCCTCGGAAACCAACTACGGCTGCCGAGATCCTCCTCATGCCACTTGTAGAGAAGGTCGCCGACTTGAGGGTACAGAAAAATTTCGAGCACAAGGAAGCTGCAGATACCGTTATTTCAACCGCAATGAGAGTAGTTGGCCCTGCTGTGCTTCTGAAATCTCTTCCACTGAACCTTGAGCCAGAGGATCGGTAAGTATGCTCTCTGGCTTGATGAGTAAAATGAACCTGATCAGCACCATAGTCAAGCTGGTCGCGAACCGCGTGCCTTCCTCCTTCCAATGGTCTCCCAGCCCCATCCATCGCCTTTGAGTCACTTTTTGTCCTACTTTGTACCCCTGAGTGAAAGGATGTTCAACCTTGAAAAAAAGGCTGAGGCAAGGGGCAGGCAGGCTGAGGCGAAGGTATGGAGTGTCCTTGTCTCACAGGTGTGGGCCGGTTTCGCCGGATACTGCCACGCATCCCCTGACGTAAAAAGTGTAATTATCTTTCACTTCGCATTCATGATGAAATTTTAATCTGCATGCTCAGGCACTTACACCAGGGTTCTCGCAAATTTTGTCTCAGATCTTATACAATCAACCGGAGCTTCGAGTGCCTGTCCTCAGAGGACTCAAGGTGTTGGTGGAATCCAATCTCGCCGTCATGTCCAAAGATCCCTCTGACGTGAACGAACCTTCTAAGCACTTAACGCTCACAGGATGGATCACCCGTGAAGAGGCCGCCGAGAACATCGCATTCTTGAAGTCTCAAGTTGAAAGCTGGTTCGCGGTATTGTTCAACGTTTTCAGCAGTGTAGCCAGCGACACTCGTGGAGTTGTAGGAGATGTCATTAGCGTCTGGGCACATATTGCAGACCCTCGGGAAATCTCGAAAGCATATATTAAAGTGGCCGAGTTGTTTAAACAAAACCTACAAAGGTTTGTCAGCGCCCCCGATGTCCAGCAAAACGCAGCTACGACAATCATGATGCAAGACCTCCTCATACTCCTTCTACCCTTCCTTGATACATCTGATATCAACTCGCTTTTCTGCTTCTGCTTGACGGAAGATGTGCTGGCCTGCAGGGACAATGGTGTGCAGAAGCGTGGCTACAAACTCCTGGGAAAGTCGGTTGCCAGCGGAAAGCTACAAGTTGATGTGCTGGGTACTCTTCGGCAACTCGACTCGTTCATGACTGGGTTGTCTCCTGCTGCGAAAAGGGACCGAATCGTGCTATTATCGCTTCTCGTACCTGGGATTCCGACTTCTTCTATGCACGTTATTGCCTCGGTTATTCCAGAGGCTGTACTGGGCACAAAAGAACCCTCCGAAAAGGCCCGTTCGGCCGCGTTCGACCTGGTAGTCGCCATGGGCAAGAAGATGTCTGAAGGGGGTGTGGTGAAGAGGCAGATGCTTGATGAAATGGATGAAGGGGCCACTGAAGGTAGGTAGTCTACACTTGCAGATCAGGGGGATTCTTTAACGCTTTCGGCAGTTCAAGCATCCATCAATGAATACATTACCATGGTCGCTGCTGGCCTGGCGGGGGCAAGTCCACACATGATTAGCGCTAGCATAACGGCAATCTCTCGACTTGTCTACGAGTTCAAAGGTAACGTGACCATGATCAATTGTGTTGAACACACTACCACGGTTGTTCAATAGATATTATCGACTCGAACGTCCAGTCTAACATCTTTACCACCTTATTGGTCTTTTTATCGTCGGCCAATCGCGAGATTGTCAAGTCCACCCTTGGATATATAAAACTTGCCATTCATACACTCTCTGCTGATCTTCTAAGGCCTCATCTCACCGAATTGGTGCCGGCACTCCTGGCATGGTCACATGACCACAAAAATCACTTCAAAACAAAAGTCCGTCATATTTTCGAGCGCATGATCAGGAGGTTCGGTTGGGAAGATGTCTACTCGGCCGCAGGAAAAGAAGAAGCCGCCAAGGTACTCGTCAATATCAAGAAAAGGAAGGAGAGGGCAAAGCGCAAGAAAACTCGTGCACAAGATGGTGACGATAATGAAGAAGTGAGTTGCTGTCAACTATTCCTTGGTATCGACTGAATCTCGGGTAGGTACCTTCGAGGAAGGTAACTACAGGCGATGCTTTCGAGGACGTGCTGTACGGCAGTGAGAGCGAATACGAAGACACCGATGACGAATCGCAAGTGGACCGTCCTACTGTGGCGAAGACAAAGAGCGAGTATGGCGTTCGATTGCGGACTGATGACGACGAGCCGATGGATCTACTGAAAGGTGTCGCGTCTCGAGTGGCAAGTGAGTTTTTGGTTTTGGATTGGGTGGTTTGAGTTATGGACTTTTCGGTCAGATGCGCCAGGGAATCGGAGACGGAAGCCTGGAACGGATGCTAACCATTTCAGTGTCGATTCCGAATCTGGGAAAATTGTCATACCGGCTGAGGAGTCAGATTCAGATATTGAAGTTAGTGCTCGCAAAGCTGCAGAACACGCAGCAGGAGGTGCATATAAAGAGAGTATCACCTCTGCTGACGGGTTCACTCGAGATGCCAAAGGGCGTGTCAAGTTCAACAAGGATACCAGGAAACGACGGCGCGAAAATGGTGACGGAGATGGTGACGTGGAGATGGCGGACGATACGGTAGAAAACTCGAAGAAAAACAAGCGACGGTCAGAGATGAAACTTGGGCATGAGTTCAAAGCGAAGGTGTGCGTCTATTAGATTGTTTCGATCCCTCCACTCATTGCCATCCAGAAAGCTGGTGGTGACGTGAAGAAAGGGAAGTTGGAACCTTACGCCTACCTCCCACTGCGACAAGCCGCAAAAAAGAAGGGTCGAGACCGCATTGGAATTGCAGGGAAGCGGTAACATATATATAGCCAACAACGTCCCTAGCTTTCGAAATTCCGTGACATCCCTTTAGCCATACAGTGTACTATCGTGGGGGGTCCCAAACAGCCCATGACCCCATGTTGTAGGCTGCTTCCAGCCGATGACGTTGCAATTGAGCACCTTTGCAGCGACATTTGCTAAGATTTGTGCATCATATCTGTTATCTCCCTCCATGACATATTGTAGAAGACAAACGGTTGGTATCTGCCACGAGGTAGGAATAGACGAGAGTATTCGGCGCGTGAGGCCGCCACCTGGAATGAAAGGAATGCTGCGCGGATCGTCGCTTTGGGAGAAGTAGGGAGGTATAGGCAAATCTGCCAAGGATGATAGGGGCATCGACGTCACGGCTGGCGATGATGCGGGACGTATATACGTGGTTGGCGTTCTGTTCGCTGGTCGACCACATGCTAATGCGCTGAAAGGGTCGGGCACTTACAGCATCTGAGTATCCGTTCTATTGGACATATCTACGCCTGCCAGGAAGATCACCGCTGATACGCATGACGTACGAATGAATTCCAGTAGAGTATCGGTGAAATCTTGCTTGAGAAGCTGTCTTATGGGTAAACAGAAATCGGCGGTGATGATAGTCATCCACGCACTGCTAGTACCGGCGATCGCTGTTGAATCACTGCGACGCTACTACTGTTGCTGCCGAACACTGCGAAGATAAGGTCAGGTACAAGGTGAGTGCACGCATAGACGTACGTTCGAGAGGCATCGTTATGCCCGGAGCGTTATCCTCGCGTGCACCTGCGACAGGTACATGATATTTAGGATCGAACACGCCAACGCGCTGTAACCCGAGCGTTGTAGTGATTAGATCAACCGTTAACTGTGCGACATTGGCGACAGAAACGATGGGCTAATCTGGATTGTGAGGGTCGGCAATACCGCTAGATGAATCGAATGCCTACGACGATGAGGACCCTGCCTGTGAGCTTGTAGTCCGTGATAGGCCGATAGAAATCCATCTGGTGGAGGCTGGCGCGTATGTGGAGTCGTCATACATACGCGCCGCCGCGTCCGGTGTAGAGAGCGGCGCTGTACTATTAGGCAATTGTAGACCGTAGTCAATGTCTCTGGTAGTATATCGGATAGTACACCCGCCTGTCACTTATGTAAGCGGTACGCGGGAGAGCGGGGTTCGACTCCCCGCCAGAGAGCTTCTTTTTGTTTTCGTAGTTTTTTTATTCACAAAACCGACGCTCAAGCGCGTCTTCAAAATTTTCATTCTCTTTTCGGTCATCTTGCTTACGGTTCAAAATGTCAACGGTCTTTCGCCGCTTCATGTCTGCTGCGTCCAAGTCCAGGTAAGTTGAATGCTTTGTGACTTCCTTCCTGTTACTCACTGCACGAACAAGCAGCAACGTCTTCGTATGTCTTCTGATATTATTAGAGCGTATATGTCACCAACCACTCGCACTAGTTTGACGTTTCAGTCGGACCCAAACCTCTCGGACGCATAGTGTTCAAGCTCTATGATGATGCCGTGCCAAAGACCGCACGTAATTTCCGGGAGTTGGCTGCTGGCTTTAAACAAGAGGGCAAGCAGCCAATAGGTTACAAGGGAAGCACGTTCCATAGGATCATTCCTGAGGTCTGTCCATGGCTCGGGGTCCGATAGGAAGACTCATATAACAAACCTCTGTCAGTTCATGATCCAAGGCGGTGATTTCACGCGACACAATGGTACAGGCGGATTATCGATATACGGTGAGCGGTTCCCGGGTGCGTATCTATTCCCGTTTACTCTCTTTTTCTAGAGTGACTGACATAGTGCCCCATGGCTCGCTTTTCTGCCTCGGGTTCATACATTTAGATGAGAATTTCATCCACAAACATGACAAACCGGGACTCTTGTCCATGGCTAATGCCGGCCCAAATACCAATGGATCACAGGTAAGCACTGCTTTCTGCAGCAACATTCCTCAGGCATCCGGTACCAGTGTGCTGTTTTGCTCACACACTCGACAGTTCTTTATCACAACTGTTGTCACGTCTTGGTTAAACGATAAGCACGTCGTCTTTGGGGAGGTAGTGGAGGGCATGGAAGTCGTCAAAGCAATCGAAGCACAGGGCACGAGGAGTGGGCAACCCCGAGCCAGGGTACAAATAACCGATTCGGGTGTTGTAGAGTAGAGGATATTGATTAATAGCTTTGGACGACATGATTATTCATGGATTTCATTGTCCTTTCATTGTGCCCCGCCTTTTGGTGTGTATCCACATTATTTTTTTTCATGATGCCAGTTGCAAACTGTAGCTGAATGGGCCCCAAATAAGATCTAAGAGGTTTGAAAGTGAGGTGAAGTGAGGTACCTGCAGTATAACTGAAACAATGTGAACTGCACCTTTGAGTAGAAGTGAATCTTAACTTCTGTTCCTAATCAAAGGGCATGGACATAAACCCAGATGACCTGATTGTAATGCAAAAAGAAATGGCAAGATATGCTCTCACGAGTTGGCATCCCCCTAGATTCCCCAGGCCAAAAGTAGTCACTTTGTATGGCGATATCTTGTCAATGACTGCGCTTTTCGCATTGCAATCAGGTTATTTTGATCTACATCAGTAAATCACTTTTGCTGGCCAGAGCTGGCCAGAGCTGTCCAGTACTGGACAGATTCCCTAGGACTGCCAGCACACAAAGTGGTTTACTGATGTATATCTCTGCCCCTTTGATTAAGAACGGAAGTCAACAACTCAAAGGTGCAGTTCATATTGTTTCAACTCTACTGCAGGCACCCGCTTTCAAACCCTTTGGATCTCATCGGATTCGGGGGCCCGTTTAGCTACAGTTTGCAACTAGCACCATGAAAAAAAAAAAAAAAAACTGTTGTTATCAAGGTGCCGTCTTATCTACGACATATGCCAAAGATATAAGTAGCTAGAGGGTGTAACTGCAAGCTGACGCGGTCTTCTGGGCTAGGGGATTACACTATTTCAGTTTCTCTACCATCTCCGGCACGGCCTCATAAAGGTCTGCGACGAGACCGACATCAGCCACCTGGAAGATGGGGGCATCCGGATCCTGTGCAAGAGGTGAGGATGCAACGGCATTGAGGTTGAAAGAGTTGAAGTTACCTTATTGACGGCAACGATGAGTTTAGAGTCCTTCATGCCAGCAAGATGCTGAATGGCCCCGGATATGCCGATGGCCATATACAATTCTGGAGCGACTATTTTGCCAGTTTGTCCAACTTGAAGGGAGTTATCAGCATAACCAGCATCTACAGCTGCCCGCGAGGCACCCACGGCTGCGCCCAAAGCATCAGCGAGTGGGAACAAGGTCGCTTTGAAAGTTTCAGCGTTCTTGAGAGCACGTCCCCCAGAAACAACGCGAGAAGCCACGCCCAAATCAGGTCTATCCGATTTAGTTAGGGAAGTGCTGACGTGTTCTGTGGATGGGTTGGAGACGTGCACGGCGTCGATGCTTTCTGTTTTAGCTTCTGCATCGCCCACGGCCGCAGCAGAGAACGCAGTGGATCGAACCGTGAAGAACTTGATGGGGATGGAATCTGATGCCCGGACGGTTGAGATTGCGTTCCCAGCGTAGATTGGACGGGTGAATGTGGTGCTATTGGAGGAAGAGTCATGCTGTACGGACGTGATATCGGAGACAGCCGGTAGATCTAGCTTAGCAGCCACACGAGGTAGGATGGATTTGGCAGATGAGGAGTGGGCAGAAACAACGTGCGTGAAAGGTGACTGTGTTGATAACAACTTCACGAACAAGGGCGTGACGATTTCAGGCAAAAGCGTGGTGTACTGCGGAGATGCAGAGTGTAGCACGGTATCCAGACCTGTGACCCTGGAAAGAGGGTGTGAGATGGCGAGAAGGGGGCTATAGAAGATGTGGGGTACTTCTTGGCTTGCTCTAGAACGGTTGGCAATTCCTCAGGTGCGCCCACGATCAGACCTGAGACCCTACCGCCCAATTGAGACGCAGCAGTGAGGGCTGAGAGGGAACCAGAGTCGAGTTGGCCCTTGTTATGCTCTAAGAAAACAAGGGCATGGGGTGATGCTGCCGTGGCGTAGCTCCTTGCAAATGACCTGGCTAGAACGGCCGCACGCAGCATCTTGCGATGGAATGATGACGAGAAGAAGGAAGTGACCCCCCACGTGATTCGATCATCAAAGCTAATCACTCCCGTCCCCTTTGAGGTATTTAAGGATACTTGGGAGTGGCAATGGGTGGGTTCTTTGTACCAGCATGGCCCACCGCCAACCTTGTCGTTTCTTCAACTCTCCGGGCGGCTGTCGTCGAGGAGACGATTGTAACTTTTCCCATATCCGCAGGAACGGAGGCAGTCCGACTCCTGCTCCGGGTACTGCACCATCCACTCCTCGTTCTTCGGCGGCTACTCTTCGTTCACCTTCAGCTACTCCTCGTTCCCCTTCCACTTTGCCTTCCCCTCCAAGGGGTTACTGTCGCTTTTACTGGGAATTAGGCAGATGCAACAGAGAATTTGAATGTCGCTATAGACATGTCCAGGCTCCGCAGGCATCCTCTCCTAATGCCCACTCTTCTGACGCTACGAATTCCTCCCCGCTAAGAGATCGCCTGGCGCCTTTCTTGACAGAACAAGGCTTGTCCCGGATGAACGGAGGCCGCGCGGAAGGATTTCTTTCCCAAAACACATCGAACTCCTTGTCTCCAGTTGAAGCTCACAACTTGCTTCAGAGGTTTCTCTTCGATAATTACAGATTTCAAGCAACCTTCCATGTATACACTTTTTTGACCCCCCTCAAGAGTGCAAACCCTTCCAATAACAAATGGGTAAGTAGTTAGCACTTCTGGTGACATACCATTTTCACCGTACTGCGATAGACTCCAGAGGACGGTCAGGTAACATATCTACCCTTTTTTTTATTACCACTCACCTTGGTTATACCTCTTTCATCTTGTCTATAGCTTCTCTTGAATAGTATCTCTTCGGTCGGTACCGGCTCCTACACTCTAGCTCTTTGTTGATGGTGTTACAGCAAAATGGTCTTCTCCGTATCGTTGATATTGTTCGTTGGCCTCAAGTATCCTCTGGCGCTGGTTCAAGTCGTGACGTATTGTCATTCCAAAGGGGCATAGTGCCTCTCCTCGAAGTATGCTTCTCCCTTATTTTTTCTCAAATACATTTCACCGTGCTTTGGGACAGTATCTGTCTTCGGACTTTGTTGTCAAGAGCACCATGGTCTCTAGAGCTAAGTATGTTTTCCTTACGTCTTGGGTCCATTCGGATCTCGTACTCATATGGGTGGTGCAGTGCGTTGTTCACCGCAGTGCTTCAAAACCTACCAAGTCTCGCCGACGCGATCGAAGGCAGTCTCTCAGGTATAATGACCTCTCGTTCGTTTATGGATTCTCTTGCAAGTGGGACGATCAGCAAAGACATCGGGTTAAGAACCTTACAATCGCTAGCTGGAGTACTCTATGAGTAAGTTGCTATGTCTTCATGTGTCCAATGAGCTGTAGCTCACTTGTCACGATTAGATGCCTTGTCCGTTTCAAGAATGCTGTTCTCACCTATCCTCGATTGGCACCTCTTGTTACGAACCTCCATACATGGTTCGGACAGTGGAGTGAAGGTGTCCGCGCATCACCACCTGCTTTTGATGATCCTTTCCAAGGCATGGAACCGCGTGTGATAGATCTTTTGATAAACTTGCTCAGGGAGAGGGTGGACAGTCTCAAGGCGATCGTAGATCGAGAGTTGGACAAACAGACAAACTCCTACAAGGTCAAGCCAACTGTTCGGCCCACTGTCCATGCCAACGAGGGTCTAGTTGCTGCATTGCGAGGTAGCTATGACCCCCCTGGAGAGTTGCGCCAAGAGGGTCCTCGACACGATAACGACCACACGGACATATATGACATACGTATAGCTCCTACACACGAGGAGCTCATGTGTCCAATTGAGCCATTTCTTCCGGCCACTCTATACGACGCCCCTCATCCCGCATCAGCGGACTCTATGGAACGTCTCTTGGATGTCCAGTTCCGTCTGTTGAGGGAGGAGCTTACGTACGTCTCATTGCAATGGTATCTCACTTACCATTGACTGGGTCCTCTTAGTGCTCCGTTGCGAAGGGCCGTACAACTCGTCTACGCCGATTTAAAGTTTCCAAACCGTTCGAGAACTCAGCTTCACACTGTTCTTCAGAAGAACG